TTTGGGACTATATTTTGTTTTTTGGATTTTCACGAGACTAAGGGGTCTCCATACTTGACCAAGTATCCTGCACTGATTTCCTAGTGTTAGTACATGATACACAGTCTGTATCACAAAAGACCTTCAGCTGGTTTGAGCTCTAGCTGCTCAATAGTATCCTCAGTCCTGACTCCCTTTTAACATACCTTACCACTCTCATTGTTGCATCCCAATGAGATCTCTAAGGCTGTTATAGGAACTGACTGAGGGTCAGAACTGAGAAGGAAATGTCAGGCCTAATCATGGTTAGATATAACAATTTCCCAATAAGCCTCTGGTATTCCCCTGCATTCTCAAGTAGTTGATCTTCTGATGTTCCTGCCAACCTATCAATCTATGGAGATATTAGTTTCACATTGGTTTCCAAAGGAGCCCAATCTGGTTTGGCACCACTAAGTCCCAATTCTGATATAATTTCCAGTGCATATTTCCTTTGATTGAATAGTATGCCTTTGTTGGACCTGCCGAACTCCATCTCAGGGAAGAATTTCAATTTTCCTAAGTCTTTAAATTTGAATGCTTGATGTAAGGTTGCTTTAGTATATTCAATGAGTTGCAAATTATTTCCTGTGACCAACATATCATCCCCATATACAAGTATCACTACAATGTTAGTGCCATATTGTTTGATGAATAGTGAATGGTCTAGGCTGCTTTGTTAAAAGTGAGACTGCAACAAAGCTTCTTTCAGCTTTAAGTTTCATTGTCTACTTGCCTGCTTAAAACCATAAAAAGATTTTACATGTCTTCATACCACACCAGACTCCCCCTAGCTTGTAAAACCCTGAGGCAACTCCATGTAGACCTCATCATGCAAATCTCCTTGGAGAAAAGCATTATAGGCATCCAATTGATGGACTACCCAACTATGTACTACAACAAGAGAAAGAATAGTTCTGATTGTTGCAATCTTAACCACTGGAGAGAAAGTCTCATGGTAATCAAGACCCTCTCTTTGGTTATAACTCTTAGCAACAAGTTGTGCCTTAAACCTTTCTACTTTACCATCAGCTTTGAGTTTTACCTTGTATACCCATTTACAAACAATTAGCTTCTTCCCTTGAGGTAAGGAAACCAGTTCCCAGGTCTTATTATCTTGCAGTGCTTGAATTTCTGCTTGCGTGGCTTCAAACCATATCCTATCCTTAGAGGCTTCCTAAAAAGACTTAAGTTCCACTATAGAAGATAACACACTCAGATAAGCTTGATATAAAATTGACAATCTGGCATAAGAAATATAGTTACCAATAGGATATAAGACATAGTTCCCATAAGTTCTGTAGTGACATAATCTGTCATCCTAGTTGGTTCCTTAGATTCCCTATGTGACCTCCTCAGAGGAATGGTTGTAGTGTCTGTTGCAAAAGAAAGAGTAGTCTCCTCACCAACTTCAACAGTATTTGAAACTGTAGGTGGAGTATGTTCAGTAGTAGGAGTAGGAGTGGAATAAGATACACCAGCATCATTTGAGTGAATAACTTCTGCAGAATCAGAAGTTGGTGTGGTAACATGAGTAGAAGTTGTATCATTAGGCATATCTTATGTTATACTGCCAGTAGTAGGCAATTCATCTAGAAAGGATCCCAAGGATGGGTGTATTGAGGGATCCCTGTTAAGTTGGAATGGAAATACAGTCTCTCTGAAAATCACATCTCTATTGACACAAAATATGTGCATTTCCAAATCATACAACACATAACCTTTGGTGATACCAGAATATCCTATGAAAACTGCCTTTACTGCCATGCTTGCAAACTTGTCAGTTCTTGGCATAGCACTAGCATAGAAAAGTCATCCAATTGTCCTCAAATGAGTGACAAATAGTTTCTTCCCAAATAGCAACTCATAAGATGACTTTTCAGTAAGTATTTGTAATGGATATCTGTTGATCACATATGCTGCAACTAAAATACAATGTCCAGAAATGTAGTGGAATATGCCCTTGAAATCTAATTTCCCTTGCAACCTCTAGAAGGTGTTTGTGCTTTCTTTTAGCTACATCATTCTGTTGAGGTATATAAGAACATGTTCTTTGATGAACTATACCTAATGACTTAAACAAATCTTGCATTTCTGAGCTGACAAACTCACCACCGTTGTCAGATCTAACAGTCTGTACTAATCCAATAAATTGAGTTTGTATCTACTTCAAGAAATATTTAAGAACATTTATCACATCACCTTTTAGTTTTAAATGGAATATCCAGGTCACACGAGAAAAGTCATCCACAATTGTAAGAAAATATTTATTTTCATCAAATGTTGGTGTGCTATAGGGTCCCCATACATCTAAGTGTAATAATTGGAAGGCTTTAATAGACTTGCTACTGCTTATAGGAAAAAACTATCGTACATGTCTAGCTAGTGGACAAACATCACAACTTTCTACAATAGATTTACAATCCTCTAACTTGTACCCAAGTAATTCTTTCATAGACCCTCCAGATGCATGTTCCAATATTTTATGCCGGAGTAGTAGATCCTCCTTGGTTGCTTGCATATTAAGTCCTTGTGCTGCTAGTTACTCATTATGTCCAGTTCTAGTAGAAGCTTTAGGAACTAGCAGTAAAGGCCATCCTTTTCTCTACCAATCCCCTTCACCTTCCCAGTGGAGAGAGCCTGGAACAAGCAAAAATCAGGGTAGAAAAGAAACAAAATAGTGGAGATCCATGGTTATCTTAGAAACAGATAAAAATTAGGGACATACAATACATCTTGCACTTCCCCTACTTCTGTGAGTTTGCAGCTACCAATATGTGTCACCATTATGACATAACCATTATGTAGATGTACTTTTATACCTTTCATTGAACTAACTGTCTTAATGTTAGTTAACATGTCTAAGTTGGCTACTATATGGTTAGTTGCTCGTGTGTCAATTATCCACTTTTCTATCCTAGTCATGAAAGAGTGAGCTATACCTTTCATGTTGGTCATAGTCTCTTTAGGTAGATCTTTGTTGAGCATCTTCATGATATGATCGTATTATTCAGCAGTAAGTTGAGGTGCCTTTGGCAGATCCCCTGCAGTCATCTTATTTGGAATCCCAGTCCTGTCAGTACCACCAGCTAGAATGTTTGGGTTGCAATTCTCAATATGAACATTATAGGCTGTATTGCCATTCGCTTTCTTCTTGTGTTTAAAATCTGCAGGATAATCAATTTGTTTGTAGCAACCTTCCTTTGTGTGGCCTTTCATCTTGCAGCAGTCACATTGCAAGTTCCAATTTCTTTTAGGCTTCTGGTAATTGTCTCCTCTTCCAGCCAATAAGGCCGTTAAATCATTTCCTTCTCCAATCATTGAAGCATTAGCTATTGATCTCTGACTCTCCCTCTCAACAAGCATAGAGTAGGCTTTGTTGATATTTGGTATTGGCCTAGTTATGAGAATCTGGCTTCGTGCTTGTTCATAACTCTCATTAAGTCCCATTAAAAACTGTAAAACCTTTTGCTTTAGCATGAATTCAAAAAATATCTTAGATCTAGAATAGTCACATGGTGGAGGAACCATACTATCAAATTTATCCCACAGACTTTTAAGTTTCGAAAAATAGTCTGACACACTGTCAGATCCTTGGGTAATAGTCGCAACTGCCTTGTGTAATTGATACATACGTGAAGTGTTAACTTTATCAAATTGTTCCCTCAAATATTCTTAGTTCTCGCATCTTTTGCATACAAAATCCCTGTGATTAACTCTATTTACACAGAGCTTATTATCCAACCTAGGACTATAGCAGTGCACCGATCCCACTGATGACCTAACTCTTCATTAAAATCCTCCTTTTTAGAGTTTCGTCGACTAACCCTAGCTTGTTCTTCTCGAAAAGATGGATTTGCATCGGTCGACTCTAGGTAGACTAATTTTTTGAGCCGGTCAGCTGAATTGATATGATCGGAGCTCCTGTCGTGTCCGATGGGTGAAGAAACATGGCGTGATTTCTAGGTCAGTTTTTGCCGCCATTGTAGAATCCTTTCCATCAACAGATTATCAATCCCTTAAATGGAATGAATTCAACATAAATCGACTTCAATCAACGAATCGGACTCACAATTACAGTCGAAGCTCTGATACCATGATGATTTCTATATATTAGAGGCAACGCCAAGCCCTAACTCTATTGTGTAGTTCATGCAAAGAAGTAGAGAATAGAAATATACAGAGAGAATTTTTGATTGAGAATGAATTATCGGTTACACTGTAAAATGAGAACACAACTATATAAAAAAGATATGATATACTTCTAACCGCCTAACTAACTATACACGTGTGAATTAATTAAGTAGCCACTAATTGTTTACATTCCTATTTACAACTATAGCCCCTTCTTGTATGCATTTGAAGTTACTCCTATTTCATCAGAAGGGCCGCACCCCAAAGAGTGTAATGTAGACAGTCTACCCTGATACAAACATTAGTGGCGGCTTCTATGGCTCGAACCTCTAACCTATAAATATATTCTAATAGTTGCATACTAAACACTTGAATTAGTCGAAAGTTGGTTCAAAGATAAGTATTATCAAAAGAGAAAAAAGGAACATGCCCACTTATACGAGTGGATTTATCATCTAGCGTAGTGATTTTGGATAATTCACATAATTAACACTAATAACTAATTTGGAATCGAGGTAGTGATGATTGGCCGATCAATAATCAGTTTAATTCGTATGAATAAGTCAATGAAGACTAAGATCTTAAATTGGAGTGTCATTGTGCTGCTTCACTTTTACAGATGCAATTCATATGTATTTAAAATTCAGTTATAAACTTTAAATAATTACATCTTTAAATAATATGATTAGCCCTGGAGGGGAGTTAGGTGATTAGAGAATACGGAGTTTTTGAATAAAGTAATTACAATAAAAATTAAAGGTTCTCACTTCGAACTTACCAATTATTATACTGTAGTTTTCACCCCATTTTTATAGTTTAGAAGCTAAGGTAAAACTAAGGAAGAAAAATACATAAAGAGTCACCAACATTATTTATTCATAATTTGTATATCAAGTACATTTACACAATATGAGCAATACATCATTAACTTTGTTGCAAATTGTTTAATTAAACACATATTTTCCTACCAATAAAGGTAATGATATATTAACCTTGCTGATATATAGCCGTTCCATGTACTCTCAGCGAACTAATCTAGCAATGGCATTCTGGAAATAGGTGAAAAGATAAGAGTAAATTTTAAGATATAAAAATAAATGAAATTTAACAAAAAAAATTTAAGACTAAGGTGAAAGCAATCAAAGGGGAAAAAAATGATAGTATAAACTTTGAAGGGTGTGTTTTGGCAGGACGAAAGTCATTTTTCAGGAAAATGATTTATTATTCGGAAGTATTTTTTGAGAAAATATTTTTCGGTGTTTGGTTGGATAATAAAAATATTTTTTGAAAAAAAAAACTCCGTACTTATTAAATATTGGTAAAAATATTAGCAAACCCGATAGTGTTTGATAAAACTTTTGATATATAATTTTACGTGATTTTGATCTAGATAATCTTTGTTAGAATTTTTTATATTTTTCTATTTGGTTCTTGACAATTAATTATCAATTTATCATTTTTAAATTTTATTTTTCACATAATTAGTAGGAGAAGGTGAAACCCAATTCCCTAATGAGATTCAAACTTGTGGTAATTCAGTTTTATATTATAATCATTATTTTATATATATACAACACTTCTCTTTTAATGGACCTTATCCCTATATACCCCGGCCCAAAGTGGGTACGAGATACTGAGTGAGAAACCAAAAAAAATATTAACATTATTAATATCTGAATTAATATAAAAAATAAATAATTTATCTAGATCTTAATGTTTTTTAATTTCAAAAAATGGAGTATAATTTTTTATACTAGTACTATTTATATAATTTTTAATTATCTAAATTTCATGTTAAAATGTTTAAGAAATTAATATCCGTATTCTCGAGATCAAAAGTTAAAAAAAAATTAATTTTCGTATTTTGAACTCATTCATTCTTTTTGAAACGGAATAAATAATTACCTCAAGAACAAAGCGGGGATCTTCTCGTGGTCCAGCGGTAGCACCCGGGTTCTCGCCCGATTTCACAACTTCCGATTTTTTAGTTTCATCATCTGATATTGGGAAGGGATCGTAGCGTTGTTTTGCAGGAACTCCAGTCCAATCTACTAAAATTTTAACGAATTCCTCTGTAATATCTCCTCCTTTTGTTTCTTTTTTGAGAAAATAATAAAGATCTTCATCTCTTTTATTTTCGTCAGTGCCATACCAATGTTCATGTTTTTCATTCAATTTAACCTGTTAATTTAAGTACAACATCACATCAGTGTTCAGACAAACAAAAATTTCACTTTTAGTCCCAGTAATATAGATAAAGTATCATTTTTGGTCCTTTGTGACATCTAGTTAATTAAGCATGTCTAAGCTTTAATTAATTGAATTGTGCACTATTGATTCGTCTGCTTGTGAATCTTCACAAGATTAACGAATTAGTAAATTTGAAACCAATTCATTGCAAATTTGTATTGCTAATTCATATTTAATAATTGGAAGGTAATATAGTCCTAAAAGTAATCTAAATATTACAAATTTTCAATGTAAAATGGACCAAAAGCACACATTTTAACTAATCGAAGGTCAAATGTATTAAATCATCTATCACAAAGACCAAAATGAAATTATAACCAAGGGAGTAAAAGTGCTATTATCCCTATATTATACTTCACCACAGATCCAAACTTACAAATTACAGATGATAACACTTTTGGTCCCTTGGTTATTCATAAATTTTTATTTTGGTATGATATATCTATATCTATCTATCTATATTATATTAAAAGCACGAAAACCCTTAGCAAAATGTCGTTCGTCTTTTTTACCCTCTTTAAATACACTTTATATTGGATAAAATTGTAAATACAAATAAAATATTTTTTAGAAAAACAAAATTACCGTAGGAAAAGGAATAAGTAGTAATTAAGAAGAAGGCAAGAAGTAGGAAACTCCTTTAATTAGTATCCCTAATACTCTAACAAAAAGGCAAACCAATTCGTAGGTTAAAAAGGGAAAAAAAAATAAGATCATAAATAAGACACTCATTAATTAATATCCTATTAAAGAGGTCAAAATGTTCGTACTTAAAAAAGAAAAAAAATAAGAACATCGGTTAGTAGGATATTAACTACGAACATTTTGACTTCAAGAAATAAAAAAATCATTAAGTAGAAAGATTTTAAAGTCCATCAGTAAGATTTTAAAATCAGTATGTAGAAAATTCATCATTTGATAACCCTATTAAAGAGGTCAAAATTTTAGTAGGTTAAAAAGTGGGGGGAAAAGAATAAGATAATAGTTCGGACATTCTTTAATATCCCTATTGAAGAGTGTAAAAAAAAAAGTTAGTATCCAATGTTTTATTTTTCATGAACTTGTTCTTTTAATTTTCTATCTATCTATATTTATATTTATATCTATATTATATTAAAAGGCATAAATACCTTTATTTACCCTTTAAAGATTTCATATTAGACAAAGTAGTGAATTGAGTTATGTTCCTAATAATTAGGAATTTAAAATTCTAATATTTAGGACATTTAATTTGATCATTAATTTTTTTTTTTTGAAATATGTAAAACTCCTAATATTTAGAAACTCAAAATCAAGATTTCATTTTATATAAATCCTTAGCCTAATATTTTTGACTTTAAAATCTTTCTAAAATACTTAACAACTTGCGCCATCTATATAGCAATCAATTGATTTTCTCTTCGTCTCTTATTTCACAGTGATTATGAAAAATTTAAACCTCAAGGTCTTTACATATGTATCCCTCCCGAACCCAAGAAAGAGAATAACGAATATGAAAATTTTGTTCCAAAAAAAGAAAAAATAACTAACGTAATGCCAAAGTTAAACAATGTTGATTTTATTAAAAAAATTAAAAGAGAGATAGAGAGAAGTGGCTGACACAAGTAAATGGCTTCTACAAACACAAAGATCTAAAGCAAAATGTCAGATGGATTTTCTTATCCTTTGAAAATAGAATTTTTATTGAGTAACTATAATTGCAGTTAAATATTTAAAATTTTGGATGACCTAATACTAAGAATTTGGCAAAAAATAAATTAATTTATTCAATGTTAAGAACAAATAGTTAAGTATTTTTAGATTAACTAAAAGCAAAAGAATTCAATTCGATTCTTTTTCAAATTAAATTATTTTTCAAGTTGATAAAATTCTTATAGTGCATAAATTTTGTTTCCATAAGAACAACATTGGCGAAGAAAATATTAACTCAACATTAGTAAAGGCAACACGATAAACAATAACAAGGCATCCAAAAACTAAAAGAGAATTTTTAATTCCTTTTAGGGTTAGGAATCTTTATATAGATAGGGAAACAAGATTGAAACTAATGTTTAATGGATATGGTCAAATTAAATTGATTTGTTAAAAATTAATAATAACAACATTATATTGAGCACTTTTATCTCTGAGATTCTTTTGAGACTTCCTCGTAAAATTTTCTACTTTTTATGTATATTCTGCATGGATCCTCCCGCTTGGAAATAAACCTTCTTTCTAAACAAACATATATGTATGAACTTTTGCATAATTAAATTTCTATAAATAATCAACAATGTTGTCTCTTTTGACTTTTTTCAAACTGAAAAAGGTTCTTCCATTTTTTCCTAGAGTTGAAGACCTCATATTTGCTAGTGTTGGGAATGAGATCCCTTCAATAACTTAATATTCTGGCCCTTCAATTTTCTATTTTGTTAGTGAAGTTAATTTGAATTATTTTCAAATTTATTAAAATACACACTATTGAAATTATGCAGAATCCTGACGATCATATATGTCGGAAACCCCCTAATACAACAAGAAATAATTCGTTGAAAAAATAGTGGCCGCAAAAAATTTCGACAGCCAATCATCGCTCATTCGAAGGTCATTTCAGATGAAAAAGGACTTTCTAATGTACATTTTTGCACTCAGTAAATTTTAATAAAAAAGAAAGCATGATAACTTGTGAAATTGAAATAATAAAATTATAATATTAGAATAAATTTTAAATTGTATATATTGACTGAGATGATTGAGGATAGAGTTTCTTCCTTTATATTAGATAAGTTAAATATGATCAACAATCATTATTCTCAAACTTTTTTTTTTTTGTATTATAAAACAAACACAAATTTTTAATATAATAATTACATAACTTTAAAAAAAATTATATTCATAGAGATAAGGTACACGCACAAAGCGCGTACCTTAAGACTAGTATGACTAAATACATCTAACTTTTAATTAGTCAAAACATATTTTTAATCTTTATTTAAGAAATATATTATATTTAAACTATTTTTAAAACTATATTACCCTCAAATATGAAGTACTATATGATTACAAGAGTTCAAACTTACAAATTAATTAAAACCAAGACATATTCAAGCAAACCCTTCATTATTTTTTTTGAATGGAGGCAATATATAAGATTCTTCAATATTCAAAACTAAATAAAACATATACGTAGCAATTTGTGTTAAGTTATATACTTTATCAGTATAACTAAAGGATATTTATAGGTAAGCCTTTATAACATGTAGAATTTGTAATCTTGAAAATAAGATAGATTACTTATTACAACATGTAAAAATAACCTAAAAATGTAATTCTTTTACACTGACAGTGCGTATAACTTAATTAATTAACTTTAGATAGACCTTTGTATTTAACCACATTTAAAACTTCATGAAGATGAAAGTAGAGTTTACCTTGTCGAAAAGTGGAAATTCAGCAGTATTAAGAATTTCTTGTTTTCCCCCTCCATATACTGATGTGCCTGTTTCTTTATTATCATAGAGAAACCCTAGAACCGCAAATCCTACAAAAGGATGACAAACATATTTCAGACCAATAGAAACAGAAATTCATTAGGAAAATACGAACCTTATTCAATTAGCTATAGCTACTGTATTTGTTTATGTTTGAATTTTAAAAAGGTTTTTCTTGCAGTAGAATATAGTTATGTTTTGTATTAAAAGTTATTTTAACTTTTTGGAGCTTTTAAGTAATTTTTAAAAAAGTAAAAATAGGTTTTTCATTTGAAAAAAAAATTACTTCCACGGTATGGTCATTGAAAAATCAAAATCAAATACATTCAAGCAAATAAAATAACTATAATCACGTCTCATTCTCCAACTAGCAGGTAATGTGTAATAACCCGACCGATCGTTTTGAGTATTACAACTCCATTTTCCCATTTACTACCCAAATTGGGCTTTACAGTTGTTGTGTGACTTGCCGGGGCATTTGGTTCGGGTCCGGTGAGGTTTTGGAATGAATTGGAACACTTAGTTCCAAGGTTTAAAGCTTAAGTTAAAATAGTGACCGGATGTCGACTTATGTGTAAACGACCTCAGAATATAATTCTAATGATTCCAATAGCTCCATATGGTGATTTTGGACTTAGGAGCGTGTCCGAAAAATTATTTGGAGGTTCGTAGTGGAATTAGGCTTGAAATGCCGAAAGGTGAATTTTTGGGAAGTTTGACCGGGAGGTTGACTTTTTGATATCGAGGTCGGAATCCGATTCTGGAAATTGGAATAGCTTCGTTATATCATTTATGACTTGTGTGCAAAATTTGAAGTCATTTTGGATTGATTTGATGTATTTCAGCACAAGATATAGAATTTGAAAGTTCAAAGTTCATTAGGCTTGAAATGGGGCATGATTCGTGGTTTTAGCATTGTTTGATGTGATTCGAGGCTTCGACTAAGTTCGTATGATATTTTAGGACTTGTTGGTATATTTGGTTGAGGTCTCGAGGGGCTCGGGTGAGTTTCGGGGTGGTTTCAGACCATTTTCTAGGCCATTCTTAGTCGCTGGTTTTTTGCCACAGAGGTATGCATCGCGATCGCGGACAAATGGTCGCGATCGCGAAGAGCAATTTTTTTGTTTGGGCACTGTGAATCGCGATCGCGGAAGCCTTTTCGCGATCGCGTAGAGGAAACCCCTGCTGCACTGACCCGACTTTGGAAGCTTATATCTCGTAATCTATAAGGAATTTGGAGATGATACAAAAATGAAAGTGTAGCCCTTTGTATCTAGTTTTCAGAAATATAAACCCTTTGTCATTTGGAATTGTGTAGAAAAAGTTATGGTAGATATACTATAGGCTGTCCGGGAAGAGTTTGGAAATCAATATTGCACATGGCTACTTTTGGAAGATTATATCTCGCAATATCTAAAGAATTGGGAGATGAGCAACACATGTAAGTTATAGCCCTTGATGTCTAGTTTTAAGAAAATTAAACCATTTGCAATTTGGAGTTTTGTACAAAATGTTATGACCATTATACTAGAGGTTGTGTGGAAGTGCTGGAAATTTGTTCTTCGCGATCGCGAAAGGCAAATTTTGGGCTAAAATTTTTGTGCTTCGCGATCGCGAAGAGTAAATGCCTGGACAGAAGATATATTTTGAGGTTTCGGCCATTTTAACACATTTGGAGCTATGGAGCTCGGATTGAAGCGAGTTTTGAGGCGATTTTCACCATATAGATGGGGTTAAGTGATTCTAACTTGGTTTTGGTTAAATTATATGAATCTATTATTGTTTTTATCAACAAATTAGTGTTTGGGGTTGAAAATAGTAGAAAAATTCATAGACTTTAATTGAGGATTTGAAGGCCGAGTTGTGGTCGGATTTGAGTAATTTTGGTATGGTTAGACTCGTGGTTGAATGAGGGTTCGGATTTTGTGAGTTTTATCGGATTCCGAGATGTGGGCCTCACGGGTGATTTTTAGGGCGTAATTTCTGATTTTTGGAAAATATTAGTATTTTGATATGAAATTAATTCTTATAATTTTTGTGAGCTGAATCAAATTAATTATGACTAGATTCGAGCCTTTTGGAAGTTATACGCGCATAATGGAATTTCTGGAGCATTGCTTAGCTTGCTCGACACTGGATTTGGCTTGTTCGAGGTAAGTAACTCTTCTAATCTTGGAGCTGAGGGTATGAACCCTGAATATATATATTATGTGAATTGTTGGGAGGTGACGCACATGCTAGGTGACGGGCGTGCACTATAGAAATTGTGACATAATTATTTTTGTGAAATTTTGTAGTTAAATAATCTTGGCATTTTCCATGCGGTTTTATGTGTTAACGAAATTGAGCTGAAAAGCATATTAAAAATCATGTTGAGGCTATGTGCCAGTACTATTGGGACCCACAGAGGTCATATTGCTGTGAATTATTTATTTTAAATTGAAAATTATACTCAGTCATATTCATGTCATTACATATCATATCTCAGTCTCTGTTATTGTTTATTGATACATTATATCATCATTTTTGGGCTTCATGACATTGTGAGCCCATGAGAGAGAGACTGGAGAGATTGATGACTGAAAGAGGCCGAGGGCCTGATTGTGAGGATTATTAGGTGGATCGGGGTTGCCCGCCCGCACCAAGCCATATTGGCTTTATATATATTATACTATTACACATGAGTTGACCGTGCAGCACGTGAGTTGGCCGTGCGGATACATATATTATACTATTGCACGTGAGTTGGCCGTGTGGATACATATATTATACTATTGCACGTGAGTTGGCCGTGCAACATGTGAGTTGGCCGTGCGGATCCAGATATTATTATAGCATGTGAGTTGTCCGTGCGGATCCATATATGATATTATAGTGCGTGAGTTGTCCGTGCAGCACGTGAGTTGTCCGTGCTTATAGCGCTTGGGCTGTAGGAGCCCCTCATGAGTCTGTACACACCCCCCAGTGAGCGCAGTCGACTATAAACAGGGATTGGGCTACACGCCGCAGCAGGTATTGTATAGCGTTGAGTGATTGAGTGTGTTGAGTATAGTGAGAGAGAATGCGAGACAGTGAGATTGAGTACTCTGAGAGTGTGAGTACATGAGTACAATCTCTAAGATACATTGCATTGACATGCACACATAACATATATGCATAGAGATGTGTTTTCCTCATGCTGTACGGTATCACATTATTCATGATTTCTCACACATATTGACAGATGGGCATAGTGATGCATTTGTTTTACACGGGTTATCTGGAAAGAAAATGAAACATATCATTTATTATTGAAAGAATTTTGGAAAAATTATTGCTTTCAAACTTATTCATATTTTTGGAAATTTCGGTAAACTATTTGGGTTTTTCACTGATGCACTTGAAAGGAAGAACTATTATTTTTGAAATCATGATTTAGCTGAGCATTTTATCTCTGAGTTACGTTTGGTATTATTTGCTTTATGTTTTTATGGACTGTTGTGGACTAGTAGTTTTGGACCCGACCTTGGTAGAAGTTCGTCACTACTTTCAACCTAAGGCTAGGTTTGTTACTTACTCAGTACATGGGGTCGGTTGTACTGATACAATACTTCTTCACATTGCGTGCAAATGTTGGTTGTTGTTGTTGATGTGCTCGATAGTTGCAGGATTTGAAGATGTACCAGCGTTCCTGTTGTAGCTACCTCTTATTCATGGTAGCCTTAGATTTATAAAAGCTCTATTTATGTATTATTCAAACAGACTATGTAATTATTTTATTTTCGCTTTGTATACTCTATTCTTAGAAACTCATGATTTGTACTACCAGTTCTTGGGGAATGTATAAGGTTAAGATAATTATTTACTTAAAATGCTTTAATAATTGTTATTGGAATTGGATAATTGAAAGTTGGCTTACGTAGCGGGTTGGGTTAGGTGCCATCACGACTAGTTGGATTTTGGGTCATGACAAGGTGGTATCAGAGCTCTAGGTTCATAGGTTCTACAAGTCATGAGCAAGTGTCTAGTTGAGTCTTGCGGATCGGTATGATGACGTCCATACTTATCTTTGAGAGGCTACAGGGCATTTAAGATATATACTTCCCATCTTTCTTTTCTTATCGTGCGGGATTGATTCATCTTGGGACATAACTCTTTGAATTCCTTCCACGTATTCATATGCACACATGAGCGCTCAATATCAGTTGTGTATCGCCGGCTTGTGATTTCAGGGATGATGTACGAGATGTGAATTCTATGTTTTGGTGATGGGCCAGTCTGGAGGACTTGAGGCCATGGTTAGACCGCAGTTTAAGCTCGGCTGCTTTAGTTATAACTTGTACAATTGGACTCATATGTCCGATAATGACCCTACAGTGGAATTTGTGGCTCGATAAGCAGTAGAATGGCAGTATGATGGGTATGATGTGACTGCGGGATGTGTTAAGACAATTTGAATGTGAAGAGAAGTGTTTCCTTGAAATGTAAAGAAATGGCCATTGGGTGCTTGATTTTCGTTTTAATGTGACGTACAGTCTCTAGTATGAATGTTTTGAAGGATCTTTCATATTGTTAAATTTTGGGAAAAATTAAATTCTCATGTCTGGGTAATGAGTTTGAACTCAAATTGACTAAGTGATTGCATAGTAATTGTGACTGCGAAAAGATATAACAAGATGCCAATTTGAGGCTAGGGGGTGGGTTATCTTCTATAGAGTAATCTACATAGGTGTGTTCCTTATATGTGAGTGGAGAGTTACTTTTCCGCCAGCAGGGCGTATGTGTGAAGATTTGAATTTGAATCTGGCTGAGAAAGTTGACTTGAGTGTCAAGAGAATGATTGCGAACTTAGCAGATGATTTGGGGTATTTTTATGGTTGGCGTTGTATGAGCTTGAGAAGAATTTTTTGTTGAACTGACGGAAGTATTAGGGTAGTAGTAGAGTATGGATATTGTGAGTTATGAAGTGTTTAAATTTATAGCTTTGAGCCAAGTGGGGGAGCCTACTGCAGACGGCTTAATTTCATGGTTATATATTAAATTTTAGTTTTGGTCTGAGGAATACTTGTGG